TTTTTCCTCCATTTCTTGCTTGACGCTGCAGGCACCCAGCCCATCTGAACTCATCTTTCCAAGCCACTGGATGTTGGTCAAGCTGTTGTCGAGAGTGCAGCTTGCTGCCTCACCACCAGCTAGGGAGGAAGTAACCCAAGACCCCAATTTAGCGGCCTGGCCAGCCATCAGGCAAACCCATCCACACTTGTTAGGGACCATCCCTCCTTCGGGACAGGAAACACACGTTGAATCTAAAGCAACTCTGCCACATTATGGATTTCAGGAGAAACTCAATTTAATCTGAACCGCACCGCAGCTTTGAGATGGGGCACGGCAACCTTACAGGAGAGTAATTTGAGCATCTGATGCCCAAAAAATGTCTCATGTTCTTGGTCTGCTTCAGTTTTTCTCCTTCATTAAGATTTCTACTTCCTAGAAAGAAAATGTTTTGAAAATGATGATGGCAACAAATGTACAAATGTGCTTGACACAATGGATGGATGGATGGATTGATTGTGATAAGAGCTGTACGAGTCCCCAATAAAATGATTTTTTTTTAAAAGAAAAAGATTTCTACTTCCTTATAGGGTCAATGGAAAGGAAAAATCAAGATAATACACCCCTTTCCGAAATAGGCCAGGGCCTAGGTTCTCAAACTTGGCTGATCACTGGAATCCCCTGGGGATCTGGCACACCTCCAACTCTTGGGCTCCAGTTCCAACCTAATGAATCAGAATCGCTAGTGCAGCGGTTCTCAACCTGTGGGTCGCAACCCCTTTGGGGGGTGGAAGGACCCTTTCACAGGGGTGGCTTAGACCATTGGAAAACACATAGTTCCGATGGTCTTAGGAACTGAGACACCACTCTTCTATCCGTCTCCAGCAGGGTCCACCCACATGCAGACATGCTGACCCCGTGAGAAAGAAGCTATTTCAACCTTCCCCCTGACGTTGGCTTTTCAAGCATACTGTCACAAAATATAGCAATGTAGTTTATGGTTATTATTTTAAGACCGTTACCCATGCTACACCATGCTTCAAGACAAAATTTCATTGTTTGTATTAGAAATAAATATTTCACAATATATAATTACATATTATTTTTGTGATTAATCATTATGCTTTAATTGTGTTCAATTTGTAACGATGAAAATACATCCAGCATATCAGATATTTACATGACAATTCATAACAGTAGCAAAATTAGTTATGAAGCAGCAACGAAAATAATTTTATGGTTGGGGATCCCCACCACATGAGGAACTGTATGAAAGGGTCGAGGCATTAGGAAGGTTGAGAACCACTGCTCTAGTGAGAGGAACTCAGGGATCTGGAGAAGATCCCCAGGGGATTCCAGTGATCCGTCAGATTTGGAAGTGTAGGTGCTAGAGGGTAGATGGGTGTGAACGTGGGTGAAGGAGCTAATGGTCTTTGAGAGAGAAGCGGCGGGGCAGCAAGGCAAGCCATTGGGAGGTTTAATAAGTTGTTCAAGTTGGATGAAAAAAAATGATGACCTGATTTATAAACCCCTACTTACCTCACAATAAAAATATATTTTTTGAATGGAACTATCCAAGACACCCTGCCCCCCCCCCCCCCACCTGCTTGGTGCTACATTAAAGGGCCTCTATAAACCTTAGGTAATGAGATGAAGGGGCTGCAGAACTCCTACCGATGCTTTTGGCTGGACGCAGCGGAATCAAGTCACAATCCAAAGGTGCACTTGTTTACAGGGCTAGTGCACCGCCTCCCAGGGCCCCAGTATAAACTGCAGTGTAACACCAAAAACAAGCTGTTGGGGCCAAAGTGCCTCAGCTTTGACGAAGAGGGATACTACCTTCCAGCCTGGTTTGGCGATGTGCTTAAAGTAGGGGAAGTGGTCCTCAATCCAAGTGTAGATGTCCTTGAGGGTCATGCGCTTCCTCTCGGTGCTGTTGATGGCGAACTGTATCATGGCCATGTACGAGTAGGGTGGCCTCTCGGACACAGAGTTCTGCCAGGACACCGATGCTCCTGGGGGCTCCTCAACCTGAGGGTTAGGAGACGTCAACGGGACTGACAATGAAATGCCCTCCCCTGCACCCTGAAATATACCCGAGAAACTCCCCATCCCAGAGAACTGTACTAGAAACATACTTAATCTGAGACCACACTATTCCAGAGAATTAGAATTTAGGGTTGAGAAGGATCTAGGCCTGGTTTATGCCAGTCCCTAGTCAATGTTTAAGTCACTTCTCCATCACCAGTCTGTTGAAGATACCCAAGACCAAACCCATTGTGACCAGGACACGATGGCAGAGTAGAACTGCCTCACAGGGTTACCAAGGCTGTAGTCTTTACGGACAACAGGTGGCCACAGCTTTCTCCCACGGAGTGGCTGGTGGGTTTGAACCACCAACCTTTTGGTTAATGGCCAAGTGCTTAACCACTACTCCACCGAGGCTCCTTTGTTGAACATACTGCCCAACAAAAAGCTGAGGGAGGGTGTCATCTAGTTGAAGCCTCTCTACAGACTATGATTCTCAGAGCCTAGGGTTTACAGTAAAGGCAGACCCATAGCTGAGATCGGGGTCTTAGTCCCGCTCCCACTGTTGCTGTTTGTAAGTAGGACCACCTCAGCTCAGTGTTGATCTGCAAGAAACCCTACTAAGATATAGAACGAATGTATGTATGCTCTCAGTGCTGGCTCCTCCCATGTTTCCGAATTGAGCTATCACTTTATAAAGTACGCAAATCTATAGGGTACAGCTCAATTAGATTGTACATACATTAAGTCCAGATGCATGTAAATGTCCACTTTTCAAGGTTGTGGAAAGGATGATCACACGGTATGTACAACAAAAACGAGACATGTGCCATGCGTGACAACCCAGACCAGTTCATGGGGCTAAATCTATTTTGACTGCTGGGAAGTATTTAAAGCACATCTAATTCACTTTGCTATAAATACGATATCTTCTAAGACAATTGTCTCGTTAGAAATGTGGTATTCATCTCTTGCTGTGGGCTGCCTCTAACGTACAAGATACTTCCAACTAAGACCTCGTTTCTTATTTCCTCAGCATACATTGTGAGCCACAGGTGAGCACACATGATTCCAGGGCGAAAAGTAGCTCAAAGCTGATACACAACAGCACTCCGTGGGAACTTGGACACCCTGCCCCAGCAGACCACTCGATCTAGTTCCTTTCTTAGAAATTCCCTGCGATGGCCCTGACTTCCCTCCTGATGCCCCTAGAACAAGTCACCTTAACTTGATTCTGATCCAGGCAACAGTTTTCTTTTTCCTCCATTTCTTGCTTGACGCTGCAGGCACCCAGCCCATCTGAACTCATCTTTCCAAGCCACTGGATGTTGGTCAAGCTGTTGTCGAGAGTGCAGCTTGCTGCCTCACCACCAGCTAGGGAGGAAGTAACCCAAGACCCCAATTTAGCGGCCTGGCCAGCCATCAGGCAAACCCATCCACACTTGTTAGGGACCATCCCTCCTTCGGGACAGGAAACACACGTTGAATCTAAAGCAACTCTGCCACATTATGGATTTCAGGAGAAACTCAATTTAATCTGAACCGCACCGCAGCTTTGAGATGGGGCACGGCAACCTTACAGGAGAGTAATTTGAGCATCTGATGCCCAAAAAATGTCTCATGTTCTTGGTCTGCTTCAGTTTTTCTCCTTCATTAAGATTTCTACTTCCTAGAAAGAAAATGTTTTGAAAATGATGATGGCAACAAATGTACAAATGTGCTTGACACAATGGATGGATGGATGGATTGATTGTGATAAGAGCTGTACGAGTCCCCAATAAAATGATTTTTTTTTAAAAGAAAAAGATTTCTACTTCCTTATAGGGTCAATGGAAAGGAAAAATCAAGATAATACACCCCTTTCCAAAACAAGGGCAACCACGGAAATACTAAATTACGACAACCCTTTCAGTGGTGTCCAAAGGATGCGGGTCACTGCTCCTCCTGGAGGACCAGTCTTGCACTTGGCACAGGCTGTACTGCATCAACAGGCTTGACTGCAGACCTTGCCACCAGAGAGGAAAGGCAGGGCTCCTCACCCCTTTGCCTTGAAGGTCACGTACCACAGCTCTCCCGTCTCGGCCTGGGAAGAGCGCCAGGTGGTCTAGGAGGATTCACATCCCTGGCTGTAGGCCTTGGTCCCAGGGTCTCGGTGACTACTTCCGCCCTCTTGGTGTCACTGCTGGCTTGGTCTGGAAGCGGGGGTTCTGGCGGGTGAGTGGGGGCCCCCCCACTGCTGATGAGGATGAACTTGTTGGGCCCACTGTTGCCACTCTCTTTTCCTTTGGCGGTCAGTGCCGTGATGATGCTCTGGATGTTGGCATGGTTGGGGATGGCCACCACTTGGGTGTTGGGCATGGTGGGGTGGTTCATAATCTTGATCCTGGCTGGAAACTTGCAAGAGCTAGATTCTGCCGCTTCCCGGGAGGCCTGTGTTGGCGGGGGCTCCTGTTGGGCAGAGGACCGCTTAGGTTCTTCCTCTGACATTTCACCTGGGGCATTTTGAACAGGAAGGGGCAGTCTCCGTCTCTTGAGAATCAGTGGCCGACAGGGGCTCGTTTTCATTATGAATCTGTGCTTTCACTCTCCATGGAGAATCACAAGCATGGACCCTGCAAAGTACAAGGAGCAGCAAAATGTCAAGAGATTTGTCAAGTTCCAAGGGACTTCTCAGATGGACAGAAGTCTGAGCCCACAGCCCCAGGCGAATGCTCCTTAGCCTTTGTAAAGCCTTACCTCCGATGGAAAGAAGATGAAGTCTACTGACCAAATCAAGCTAAAACTGAGGCCAACAGAAAGAGCTCAAAGCAGGAAAGTCGAACTGAGTTGGATTTGATCAGGAAAAGCAAAGACCCGCTAGAAGCTTAAGGATCCTTGGTTACAGAAACAAGTGAGACAGCTACGAAATGGGAAAATGATCCTATGATGGCTGGTGATTAAACAGACCACTGCATTGGCTGTAGGGATCGGAATGGAAGAGGCTGGAACAGGAGGACATAGGATGACACACTTCTGAGCCCACAATCCATTTTAAAATACAGTCTTTATATCTTTATGGCATCCTGCATTGTGAGCGATACGATCCGTGTCCACGGAATCAGGGGAGAAAGGTATATTGTATTATTGTCATTTCACCTGAGAAATCACCGTCCAGTTTATAGGCCTCACTTCAAAGACGAGCAGGTGAGCCTGCTCTGTTTAAGGCCCATGGGGAAGTTGTGCAGACTGGATCCCGCACAACTCTAGGAGCATTCATTTCACAGGGTGTAATCACCCTATTCGTGCATGAATAAAAATGGCATTTTTCTTTCAGTTAAACACTTACATAGTGCCATATTACCCTTGCATGTGCTAATACATTTTAGCTTCCATACTGTCTCAATTTCTCTTCTAGAACCAAGACAAGAAGCCCCGGTGGAGCAGTGGATTAGGCCTTGGGCTGCTAACTGCAAGTTTGGTGATTGGAACTCACCAGCCGCTCCTAGGGAGTAAGATGAGGCTGTCTGTTCCTGAAGAGTTTCAGTCTTAGAAACGCTAAGAAGTAGTTCTACTCTGTCCTATTGGGTCACTGTGCATCTGATCAAACTTGACGGCAGTGGGCTTGGGGAACTAAGCCTACTGGATGTGCTATCACCAATATGCTAAGATTGGTTTTTGTCTTAATTTTAAAAGAAGTTCTTGGTTAACATTTGATAGCTAAATGGAAGACTCTACCATTTAGTGTAAAATGGTAGAACTCTATTTAGAGGTACTTGGAGAGAGAGGAATTGGCTATCCCTTTATAGAACATTTGCTATGTCCCTAAAAAGTGAGATACATTTGTATGACATTTGGGATCTGCTTAAAATTCACAGGCCCTCCCCATCCTCCCCCTGCTTTCTATAGACTGCCTAGATGTCCTTTACCTTCAAAGCTCAGTTCCTTCCACCTCCTATCTCTCCAGTGCCCTCCCCACCCTAAACACGCCCGTAGATATGATCATATTATCCTCTCTAACCCCCACCCCCACCCCAGGATATCTTCTTGAGTTCAATTTCCTCTTTCCTGACCAGTCACTTCGTATTCTTGCTAACAACCCTTTCCAGTCCGGTGACTTGCAAAGTAGCCCCCTTAGGGCCAGCGAAACTGCTACACGCTCAAGGACCAGAAGGGCCTTGCAAAAAGAGTCGAGTGGAGGCAGTGTTGCCCAGTGGTGAGAGCGCCTGGGAGCCGGGGGCGTGGGGGTGTAGAAGAAGCTGCTCTCAGCCCAGCCCCGGTGCACACTCAGTAGGTCGCCCCAGACCTCCCGATGCTGTGGACAGGCTGCGGCGGCCAAACGTCCAAGAAAGGCCGAGTGCTCTCTAGAGAAGGGGAAGGCCAGGACGAGGAGGGTGGGTGCAGGGGAAATTGGCACCACCACCCCCCCAAACCGCCTTCCCCCGGGGAGCCCCAAACCTCCACTCTGGTTCCGCGCCCGCTTGCCAGACCCCCTGACTTGCTCGCCGGCCTCTGCGCAGGCCGGGCCTCCGTCTGCATTTCTCAG